GAGTTTTTTTTTTTTTTTTTTTTTTGTACGAGGATTGAACCCAGGGCTGCTCAACCACTGAGCCACATCCCCAGGCCTTTTTTTACATTTTGTTTAGAGACACGGTCTCACTGAGTTGCTAAGTGCCCCGCTAAATTGCTGAGGCTGGCTTTGAACTCATGATCCTCCAGCCTCAACCTCCTGAGATTACAGCTTCAGCCTGTTGGGATTACAGTCATGTACCACTGTACCCAGCTCATTTTTAATTGTGTATCTGTGGTTTCATTTGTAAATGGCCCATGACTCATAATTTATCTTCCCTCTAGAAATATTTGTTTCTTCTTCAAGAATTTTTTAAAAGAATTTTGGCTGGTTGAATTCTTTCATGATTGCTCTAACTGGCTTTTAAAAAATTTTTTAATCCATCTAGGAAAACGTGCCTGTACCCCCTTTCTGGTTGGGTGATATCTAGTGTAACAGTAGCAGGCTTCTGTTTTTCTTTACTTTTTTCTAAATGCCCACAACCGGCTTTGCCTTTCCTTTGTGGAAACAGGAAAACCAAAAAGAGACCTGGGACTGGAAATTAAGGCTCTGCTACTAAACACCCTACTAAGCAAATCACTTCATCTCTCAGTGCCTTAAACTCTTAGGTGTAAAATGAAGTATGTGGACATGTGAAAACTGAAACTCTTGACAATTTGTAATACCAGAGCACCACGACTGTGTCTAAATCCTTGTGAGGAAAGCACGTGCCTTTCCATTGTTCATTTCAGTCTTGTGGCCTATTATAAATAATATCTGACCCTGAAATAAGCTTCCATGTGGGCCTCCTTCCTCCCTTACTCCTTAAACGTGACTGTGTCATAGGATATCTGACATTAGCCCCTCCTTTTCTTTTCATAAAAGTGTCTCTTATCATGGTCTCATCTATTCCTTTCAACACCTACCCCCCTTTAGCTCTAGCTCTGACTCTTCATCTCTCTCCATCCAACATCTCCATCCAACCAGAAAGCTCCACCATTTTGTCCCAGAGACACCTCAAACTTATTTTGGATCCATCATCATACATCCTCAACTGGTTCCTGCTCCTCTCAAATTCCTATATCTATCAAGAGATTCTGTCTTCCTGTCAGTTACATCAACATGGAAGCCCTGTGTTCCCTTTGGACTTTCCCTCTCGCTTATCCACATGTCCTCAGTGGCCAAGTCCTGACAATTTTAATGCCTTGCACTCTTGGACATTCATGTCCTCTGCATCTTCTTTCCAAGTACTCATGAATTCTGCTTTGTCAAGTAGTCTAACTGATCACCCCTTCAGGTTCTCACTCTTTAATACCTACTAGGCAGTGAGGCTGTATTTCACATCTTAAAACATGGTGATAAGCCTATTATTCTTTTATCCCTGAAAATGGCTCATTGCTCCTCCCTATCTAATACATAAATAAGTTCCAAACCCCTGTCATGCTATTCAGTACTCTCTATTAAGAATCTATCCCCATCCTGTTATTCTTAGTTATTTCCTGCTATTCCCTGTATGGCAATTTAGATTCCAGACTTGCTGTTCCAAATAGTATCCCAATGTTCTAGTTCCAGGCCCTTGACCTGAATGCCCTTTCTCCCCACTCCCAGCCTTAGCAACTACCCAGGATGCCCACTCATATGCCATTCCAAAGCTTCTCCTAACCACATCAGCTGGAAGCAACTTCTCCCTGTCTCCTCTCAACCCTCATAGCACCTTTCTTGTACCTTAACAATGAATGACAGCTATCACTATATTTCTCTGACCACAGTCAATTGCACAAGTAATTTTCTTTCTTCTTGAGACCAGATCTCTTTGAGGGAAGCTTCTCTTTCTGAATAATTTTTAAACACTGTAGAAGTCTTTTTTTTTTTTTTTGTACCAAGATTGAACTCTGGGGCACTCGATCCCTGAGCCACATCCCCAGCCCTATGTTATATTTTATTTAAAACCAGGGTCTCACTGAGTTGTTTAGTACCTTGCTTTTGCTGAGGTTGGCTTTGAACTCGTGATCCTCCTGCCTCGACCTCCTGAACTGCTGGGATTACAGGCATGTGCCATCTCACTGGGCTAATCACTGTAAAACTCTTAATGTTGCCATAAATACAGAGTTGTACCTAATTATTGGATAAATTAACAAAAAAGTAACACGGAATAAATCCTGCCCTCTTGACTGAATCAGGCATGTTCAATACTAATTGTTAATCAATAATACTTCCTAAGTTATTAATAATTTCTAAGTATTGTGATCAAGGTAATATCTTTGGATTCTAGATGATGGCAATAACTTTATAGTTGTACAAGATGCATAAATTAATTTTCCAAATAAGAGGAAGCTTTTCACAGAATTGGAATTTGTGGTTATCAACTGCTAAAATAGAGTGACAGACAAGTAAATGTTTAAGTAATTGATTGTTTTATGGTAATTGATCACTGAAGAAGTAAACAACAATATAAATTATTCAAAATTGTTACATTAATAAATATCTGATGTGCTAGGTCACAACAGCTATCTACAGAGGTGCTCTACATTCTGGGGAAATTTGGGGAAGCAGATGGCATTTCACCTGTGTTTCATGATCATTTGAGAAGGAATTAGCTGATTTTGATAACTTCTGGTATGCTGGCAATAGAGCTAGATATAAAACTTAGTTTGTACTGCCGTATTGAAACTAAATTATTGTGATAATATTTTTCAATAATGCTTATAGATTCCTATCAAATTTGGCAAAGGATAATAACTTATTGCTGATGGATATCTTATGAGGGAAAAGTATTCCTATCTTAAAATAGGATTATGTCTATAACATTATGAAATTATCTTCCCACTTACCTAGACCAATAGAAAAGAGGCATCATGTTACCTCTAAGTGACAAAACACTGGTATTCCTTAGCAACCCTTGCATAAGCCTTGTGTTGCCAAAACAACCCGAAGGCTCTGCTTTTAACCACAGCTTTCATTACCTGATTACTAGCCCTAGGATGAAACCAGCCCAAACAGGCAACCAACAGGGTAGGAAAGTATTGCTGAGTTTCATAGTCACTCTCCCCAACCATACTGTACTCTTTTTTCTGGGCTATTTGTGAAGCCAGATAGATACAGCATCATGTGTAGAGAGCTGAAAATGCTCTCCCTTCTAATAAGAGGTCCCACTGTTGCTCCCTGTCCTGAAGCTGCCTTCAGGCCTCGGGGCTTGGTAATGCAGATGACGATAAAGGAGGTTGTGACTAGCTTAACTAACTTCCTGCTTGAGGAAGTGGTGCAGGGACTTGGCTAAATTGCCTGGGATTGGAACATGGCTCTGCCATGTCTTATTTATGCAAACTTAGATGAGTTAGTGTGCCCTAAACTTCCATTTCCCATCATATAAAATGAAAATCATTACATTATCTCTTTGTTATTATAAGAATTAAATAAAATAGCACCTGTGAAACACTTACCAAAATGCTACTAATATTTGCTCAATAAATCTCTTATGGAGAATTGGCTCACAGAGGTTTTCAAGAGTCTTTGTGACAAATGACTAAATTTCATCCAAAAGACAGCAGCAATTCTAAAGGTCCATGTTTTTTGCCTAATTTTTCCCAAAAGAACTGCTTCTAAAATTTAAGAAGTAGTGCTGATGAAATCAGATGTCTCTCCTATACTCAAAGAGAAACAGGACGTAAAGTTGGAGAACAATGTGTTGTTTTTCTTCAACAAATGTACCTGCACTTACACATCAAAAAGGAGTTTTAATCTTCAAAGGAATCACATCAGGAAGCCATGCACTTATTTCAATAATGCTGCCAAATATTTTTGGAACTCTTCCTTCTAAATTACCTTCTGAATCTGCTTCAAATTCTTTTAGATGTCTTCATTGGCAACAAAATTTTATCCTTTGGGAATTTTCCATCTTGAAAGCAAATTTAAAACCAACTCTTATGAACAAAATGGAGGACAATGTCACCTCTAATCAAAAGCGAGGAAATAAGGACTTCTTTACATGGCTATTCAGGTGCCTTTATTTCAGATATGGACTCTTTAAAATATTTCAGGCCAGTAGAGGCATGGTCATAATTAATGTGTTGTTTTGTGAGTGAATAACAGGTTACGTTACAGGAACCTTCACATATATTTGCTCATTTAGTGTTCATATCATCTGAGGTCTGTACTCATTTTCCCCATTTCATAGGTGAGGTAATTGAAATGCAGAGAAGTTAAGGATTTTGTCTAAAGACAGACCCTTAAGTCGAGGAGCCAGATATCAAACCCAGACTCTCCACTTGGTATATATGCTATATTTTCTAGAAAGTACAACCTGTGCGTGTTAATGATTTTGCTTTCTGTTGGGTTTTGTTGTTGATTCTTTCAAGATACTATCATTTAAACTTGGTGAATGATAGTGTGTCTCTCCATGTTTTTGTTTGTCTGCTTGTTTACCTCAGCTACTGTTATGGAGCGGTATCTGAACTCTGTCTCTCTGTTATCTCTTTCCAAGGAGGAAGCAGTCCCACCTTCTGGCTGCCTGGCTTTCTAACTACCCAGAGGCAATCCTGGGCTAGAACAGGTGCTGGCCTTTCACCCAGCAGCCTCTTTACCCTTGAGCCAGAAGCCTCCCTTCTATAGTGCCTCCTCAGGCCTGTTTCAAAACTCCCTCTAAAAACTGGATTCTTCCATTGTATCATTCAGCAGGTCAGTCTCACTGGATTGAAGGAAAGGAAAGAAGAGAAAAGCAGAAAGGAAAGGCATTGGGATTTTTTTAAGTTCTCTTGCTAAAACACCTTTACATATAATTTTCCATAAACAGAATGCTCTGCTTCCTCCAACCCCTGCCCTTTCTCTCTTTCCCTTTTCTCTCCTTGGCTCCTTTGCTTTGAACTATAGGTTTCGAAAGCAGCTTCAGACCAATGCCAAGGCCATGTGGCTGACCAGTCATTCATTATTCAAATAATGACAAGCCCAAGAAAATATGTGTAAGCAATTTTTTTTTAATTATGCTGGAACTTTTTAAATTTCAGGATAAGAGAAAAATACAGGAAGAAATCTCTCAGAAGCGTCTGAAAATAGAGGAAGAAAAACTAAAACACCAGCATTTGAAGGTAACATATGACTTTAATTGTATTTCAATGATTTTGTATTCAAATAACCTAATGGCATTCAAATTTCAATAGAAATGATGCTTTCAGAGACAGAAAATTCCCAGCATAGCTCTCAACATTCTAATAGCCCTAGAAGAAGCCAACAAGCTACAATATTTGCATATGAGATGAATACCTTCTGTCAAACTCATGGGAAGCTGAAAACATGGTTTGATTACTTCTGTCCTTTAGCACTGAATTTCCTAATTTTCCTCAGTAGCCTTGAGAATTCAGCCTTGAGAATTTGGCCCTGATACAGTCTTTTTTAACATCCCTGGGGAGGGGATCCAGCTAGGAAGTTCCCTTTGAAATCAGTGAAAGGCCAGCCATTTCCCAGGGGATGCAGAACAGACAGTGTCCAGCCTGGTCAAGGATGCTTATGTTTAAAAGCTCAATGTGATGAATCCAATGTTGTTTGAGAATGGCTCGGGTTGGGTTTCTGTTTTATTTTGTTTTGATAGAACATGAGATCATAACCATAAATAAGTCTCCATTTTTAAAAATCAGACTTTACATCTTTCAAAAATCAGACTTTACATCTTTCACTGGGTGAGGTCATTTTGTAATTAAAGCACATTGAGTTTCAATATTTTATTACGTAGCTTAGTCACAGGATGTAAGCAAATGACAAACAGGAGCTCCTTGTGAACAGGCCCAAGCAGGAAACTACTTATCTGGCAGGGCTGCTACCAACAAATTTAATGAATCCCCTCAATGAAACAATGCTACATGCTCATGGGGTTCTCAAAAATGAAGTTAAAATTGCCAAATTCAGCTAAGTCCTATATTTTTTTTTTTTGGTACTGGGGATTGACCCAAGGAACTTTACCACTGAGCTACATGACCCCATCCTTTTAATTTTTTATTTTGAGACAGGGTCTCATTGTTGCTGAGGCTGGTCCTCAAACTTACCATCCTCCTGCCTCAGCCTCTAGAGGTGCTGAAAATACAGGCATGTTCCACCAAGTCTGGCCTAAATCCATTTTTTTCCAATGGAATAAGTAACCACCTCTGAAAAGAAACTAAAACTCTGATTAACCTCAGTTCTTCAGATTCAGTTGGCTTTTTTTGCTCCTATACCAGCTGACATTGCTATTGTTTGATGGATAATTGCAAATCATAGTTAACCTACTGCTGTCCTTTCAATATGTCACAAAGAATATACATGAGCCAGGTGTGGTGGCACACACCTGTAATCCCTGCAGCTCAGGAGGCTGAGGCAGGAGGATCATGAGTTCAAAGCCAGCCTCAGCAACTGCAACATGCTAAGCAACTCAGTGAGACCCTGTCTCTAAATAAAATACAAAATAGGGCTGGGGATGTGACTCACTGTTCGAGTGCCCCTGAGTTCAATCCATGGTAACACACACACACACACACACACACACTATATATATATATATTATATATATATATATATATATATATATAAAAGCAGAAAGTATATATATATACACACACACGCATATATATATATATATACACATAGATATACATGAGTAGTAAACACAAAAGAAATGTAATGTATATTCCTAGAAAATTGATAAAATGAAAACAGATTATACCAAGTTATCTTAATGTAATTCAAATGAAATATGTCAAATCTAGAACAATATTTGAAATAGATCATTTCTAAACCCAAACAACAATTTGAGAATTTGTGTGCGCTCGTTCTCTCTCTCTCTCTCTCTCTCTCTCTCTCTCTCTCTCTCTCACACACACACACACACGCACACACACACATTTTTATACAATTTGGTTCTGGCAGAGAACAGCTTCCTGTGTCTGAGTAAACTGATAGCTCTCCAGCATATGGCAATTTCGATTCTTGCAGAATGGGTAGCAAATAAAAGCAGAGCTCACAGTAAAATAAAGGTTTAAATATGGCCTCAGTTCATTTTGGAAGTAAGTTTCACATAGGAAAAGCCTGACTTACTGATAGGTCCATTTTTGAGGTGGCACTTCATTTTAGTACTTGTCAAAAACAGACCAGAAAGTAATATATGATCTTCCTTATCGGTTTCCTTCTGGAACCAGAAGACCTCTCCTAACCTAATCCAATCAAAACATTTATCATGCTTTGGACAGCCAAACACAGTTGTGCAGATTGTGTACTGCAAAAGTACAAATGGAGGTGCTGAAATCCTGCCCACACTTCCTTGCCAACTGTTTACTCTGGCCCATGTCTGCTTGTGCCAAGAGCAAGAGGTTTCCATTTTTTTCACACAAAGTTGATATCCAACTTCCAAAGCTGTGCTTGACCCAAAGGAATGGAGGTGAGGGGGAGGAGGAAATGATATATTTTCCTAATTTGGAAAATTCAAGATTAAATAAGCAAAGTAAGTTAAATGATGATGCTTAATTTAAATTGAAGTATAAAAATAAATTTCTTAATCTGAGGTGGTCAAAGTTTTGTGAAAGATGTGAAATTTTGGGCTGGGGTTGTGGCTCAGTGGCAGAGCACTTGTCTTGCATGTGTGAGACACTGGGTTCAATCCTCAGTACCACATCAAAAAATAAAAAAAACAAAATAAAGATATTAAGTCCATGTATAACTAAAAAAAAAAAAAAACTTTTTTAAAATGATGTGAAATTTAAGTTGGGTCTTAACCAGTAAGTAGAATATATATGGTTGTAGAGAGGGCCTTGAAGTACATGAACATTTATTAAACACTCATTATGTGCAAGGTACTAAATTGGACACTAAGAATTTAAAATAAATAAAATTTGACCTGTGCCCTAAAAATGATAACTGACACAGAAACTCATATGACATCCTATGATGAGCACACTGTAGAAGTCATAAAAACACAGAGGATAGAGTGGCTATTTGAATAGAGGATATTTTTCCAAGTTTGCAGAAATAGTTTGCTATGCCAAACAGCAACCAGGCATAAATCCAAGTCAGCATTCAAAAATGTGCAAAAGTATTTTAAAAATTAATTCTACAATATGTTCACCAAGTCGAGAAAGTTCTAGTGGCCTCTATAGTTAACACCAGTTTCTGGTTTTCTTCTCTATCCATTTGTTCTCATTGCTGTGACTGTCCTTACTACTTCCTGATGCAAACTTTTTATTACACTTTAGTGGCACAGTTAACAACATAAGCATAAGCACTTACAAAGTGTTCCTCCTGCATCAGCATACAAACATTTCAAAATAGTTGCAGTAACTCACTATGATCTTGCTTCTGATCCTGATGATCATACCCAGGACCACTACACAGGGAACTTCCAGGGACGTTCTCATTCCAATATTCAAACAACTCTGGGATTTGCACACTAGGGATCTTTTTGCCTAGTAATAGCATCACAATCTCACACCACCAAGAAACACAAAATATACTGTCCAGAGAATTGTCCTTTCCTGTAAATCCATTCATTCACAGTATGAAAAAATCAATTTATCCCAAAAACTTACTGAAATTGCTGGATAGAATTGCTTCAGGAAAACCTTTTCCTTAAAAACTTCCAAAGATTTTTCTATCACCTGCAGGTAACTTATACTTTCATTCAGTTCATACGGTTTTTAATTCTCCGTTTTATTATAGTGAAATAGATTTTCTTATATTCATTAGCTTCACATACAAAGATTAAAGTCTAAACTATGGCATAAAAGTAAAATAACTGTTTTGTGCACTCCAATATGTGATTTACCAGATCATTTTGAGTGCACATTCAAATTGTATATTTGATATTTAAATTAAAGCAGGGATAAATGACAGTTTGTGAAGTATAGACAAAGTTTTGTAAATCTTCGATTAAAATTATTCTTGTTCTTAACCAGACTAAGAATCAAGAATGTAGCCCAAAGTTCAGCTAATCATGTTACTAGTTCATTCACCTCTGTCTGCAATTCAACATCATAAACCGTGCCATCCTAGTGCTTGTTATAGATCTAAGCATGCAACTGACTGAACTATCCTCATGGATAGTTCTTAAGCCCTGTAACTTACTTTGATAGGCATTATCTGTCTTCTTTACTATACATTAGCTATCTTCAAATGCCATCAACAAAAATAAGTTAAAATCAAAATGAATTCTTAAAATCCTGATATATTTAGATTTTCTTGACATCTTTAACCTCAGGAGCCAAATCTTGACCTCTATTAGTAACATTTACTAGGTCTATGAGAAACATTTTTGCAAACAACTAACCAGCTATAATAAGAGGTCAAGTTAACACTGGGGGAAAGAATCTTCCTGTGGCAGAATGCAGTAACATTGCTCTTCTGGAGTGTGTGGTCCACATGCAATTGCTGCAAACTCTGACAAGGTCAACACAAATGTGATGATCTGGGCTGAGGTTCTTTGTCACTTGGGTCCTGTGGCTTTCAAGTAGTGTCCTGTGTACCTGTAAACTTCCATGTACCTCACTGCTTTAACTAAAGCCATCTGAATTTTATTCGTTATTCAAACTACCATTCCATATGATGTTTATTTGCAATTAGTGTACTGTTGGATTTTAAATAATCGTTTGAAAAACATTGTCTTTCTTAAGATAACCTTTGTAATTATCAAGCATAACCAAGGCTAATTAACTTTTTTCAACTCAAATATATTTCTATTTCAGTGGTATTAATTCTATCATCCTTTAGAAAGAGAAAAAAATATTTTTCTTACTTGCTCTCATTTTAATTGTAATATAAGAGAAAGAAGTCCCAGAAAATAAAGTTCCTACAATCTCCTCATCATTATAGGCATAGTGATTCCCCAAAGAATAATTGAATAACTGAGCAAACAATGTAGAAAGGTAGATTAGATACATATGAATACACGTGAAGCCCTTTTTTAATCAGGAAGAAGGGAAGAAGCTCCAACTCTTTGATAATAATAGAATTATATATCATACAGTTTCCACTTGAGACATGGGCTGGATGCTAGCTAAAGCCCCTCCAAAGTTTCTAGATCTCTTTCATTATTTTAAGTTTTCTTAGGCTCATCAGTTTGATTCTTTCAAGTAAATTCAAAAGATTTTTTTACATATGATGAAACATATCTTTTTTGTGTTGTTAAAGTTGACAAAAAAAAATCAACTTATCAATGTTTAGGTATAGCCATGAATTTTGTGCATCATATTATGGGAACAGGTAGGAAGCTGGATTTAAGAATGTCTAGAACCAGGGAGATTCCCAGAAGAGAGAAGGAGTGCTGAGTGTTGTTGCTATTGTATCTTAAACTAATTTTACCTTGTTCTGCAGCCCAAGATACAATAGCAGCCTTCTGTTTTGCCCACCATTTCAATTAGTCCCAGAAAAGGTTATTATGTGAGGTCATGGTGTGAACATCAAAATGACTTCATGGAATTTTGAACTTTGTTAAGAACACAAGACATACAGCCATCAACCAAAGAAATAACAGTAAAGACATCACATTGTGAGGTCTCTACAGGACTGTGATAAACATACAGCACAGCATGATTCTAGAGGGTGAGGATGGGGCTGCCAGGGAGGGAGGGGGCTGGGGTCTTCATGAGCTGAAGGAGTCTGACACTAAGCCTCGAAAGGTAAATAGGATTTAGATACAGAAAACATGGCTTTGGAAGGGGATCAAGAAGGTTATGAAAAGGGAAATGACAGATTTTTTTTCGGGCAAGGCAATGGGAGAAAATAATTCTTCTTTAACATGTCCACTATTGAAATTCATAAGATTTGAAAGAAGAGATTTTTATTTAAGTTATTGACTAATATGAGAACATGTGTGTGTGTTTCCTGACACCAGAAAAAGGCCTTGAGGGAGAAATGGCTTCTCGATGGAATCACCAGTGGGAAAGAACAGGAAGAGATGAAGAAGCAAAATCAGCAAGACCAGTACCAGATCCAGGTTCTAGAACAAAGTATCCTCAGGTAGGACCTCATTGAGATACCCCACGATTGCCTTCTCCTTTGTCTTTGTATCATGTGTTTGTGTAGCAAGCTATTCTCAGTTTAAGGGGCAGAATCACACCTTCCATTTTTATTTCCAAAAATGACTAGGGAAACACACCAGCAGGCAGAAATAGAAATGTTACTTTAAATGTCTCCTGAATATCTCAACACTATTTTTGGTGAGTTACCCATGCCTCTCTGAGTCTATGTCCTGTAATTACCTATCTTCAGGGTTGTTGAGCAGATTCTAAAATATTTATGCATCTACTTGGCATATGGCAGATGCATCAAAAACTGTGCTTCTTCCCAGGGCCAGCCCCCACTCTCACCTGAAAACAAGTGACAGGTCTACTGGTGTGTTTGCATTGTCTCTCCATCAGACCTCTCCCCCACCAACCCCACTCTATTTTGGAAGAGAAGATATCAGATACAGGGGCCCTTTTCTACTTCTGTGACCATGTGGCCACAGGTGTTCATCTCATTTCTCCATTTCCTTTCCTTCCCATCACGCACAGTCAGCAACTCCTGGTGGAACAAGTACAGTCATCAGATTACCATACCTTAAAAAGAGATAATGGGCTTGAAAAAAAAAAACAAAAAACAGAAAGCTCAAATATATAAGGTGAGATTACTAGTACTATCCCACGCCCCCCCCCACACACAAAAAGATAGCATGAAGAATCAGATATTGGAAAGGCAAAAGTCATTTTCCAAAATGGACAACATGGGGAAAAAAACCTTCCTTTATAAAAAAATATTTCCATCTTATTAGCTTAATTACCCGTTTGTGTTTTTAATAGCTAAAATCATTGCTTATCCCTATTTAGCTGTTTTTCTGAAATTCACAATTCTTAAGAAGTTATATAATTTAAACATCTATTTTTATAAACCCCTCAGTTATTTGCTCAAAAACGTGGAGTGCTTCCAAACAGTAGACAATAAATGCTTTAAAAATAAATAAATAAATAAATCAGCCCTACAGTTTGGAAAACTCCATTCTCTTAGCAAGAGCTTCTTACCAAGTCTGGCTTCAGCTGATGATCACTTCCCTTCTTCCTCAGCATGGAATCCTTATCTCCCAAGGAGTCCAGAGTTAATCCCTGTAAGCCCTTCCCGCTGCACAGACACCTCCTTGCTTTCCCTCACAGCTTCTTTTCAGTCTTCCCACCTACTGAACACCTACAACTTTCTCTGTACCTGATGATAATTGAAGTGGCTACATATGCTCAAGCTCCATGAACGGGTTTGGGCAGCATTCTGAGTAATCCCAAGTACTTACTAAGACTCTTCTGATTGCTTTTGGACCTTGCCTGAATGCTCTCAGAAGCACATAAGCTTCTACCAGTACTGACAGAGGCCTGTCTAGTGACAGCTCCTGTCTGACCAAAACTAGAAGAGGATAAGGAGGAGAGGTATTTAAATGATGTATATTATGCTCCCAGCACTTTACATATATTATCCCATTTAATCTTCATAACCCTGTGAGGTAGGTATGAACTTCATTTTTTTTTTTTGAGTTGTACAGATTTTTTATTGTTTTATACCAAAACAAATGTACTGCAAATTACCAAGGGTTGAACTTCATTTCTTGAAGAAAGATTAAGGAAGTCACACAACTAGAAAGAGGCAGATCAGAACTATTTCATCTGACTACCCTACACTGCCTATCAAACAACATCACACAGCAACCTCTGTGAACACAAAAAGTGTTACCTCTTATGATAAGTCTTGGAAGCATGATCTGTCCCTTTATTCTCCTTTCTCCAAAACCTCTTATCACATTGGGGGATCTTCTTCCATGTCCCTCTACTCTCTTAAAGTACCAAATAACTACCTGTTATTTGGTACAATTTCTGGCATCTCAATACAACTTCATTTTAGGTCTTCAGGATGCTATTAACACATCACCAGTCCTAAATAAACACCAAATTATTTTAGTCCACCAATATGAATAATAACAATAATGGTTCATTCTGAAGGGCTTTGTACAGTTTACAAAACACATGCATTTACATTGTCACTAAATACTCATGGCAATTCTAAAACAAATAAATAAAAATTTAAAAGCATCAATACCTTCATTTGATAGGTGAGAAAATAGACTTAGAGAAGGTAAAGACTGAATTAAGACCACAGGGTCAGTTATGAGTAGCCTTTAGTCTAATGCAAGGGAAGGTCACTGCTCCTCAGCTAGAAAATGAAGTGAGAGATGTAGATGTAAATGTTCAGGAAATAGTAAGACACCTGATCATGGACAAGTGTTATCACTTATAATCAGCAAACTGCTTTGGTTAAGGAACAGTCCGAAAGAAATGTATTTGCAAAGAATTAGTAAAGAATTTGCATTCCTTGTGGTTCACAGAGGCATGTTTATCTGGTGAAAAATGTGGAAGGAACAGAATGTTCCAAAGCAACATAGGAAGACAAGAAATATGTGTGCCTTGTCTACATTAAGCAGCCTCCACAACTGCCCCTCATTATAGAAATCACACTGCCTGAGCAGCTTTACCTGATAATTGAACATTTTTGTCTCTGATATTTCTAAAGCTACGAAATAATCAGGTGCATTTTTTTTTTAAATTCAATCTTTGCCTAAACAACTACTCACAGTGCCTAAGAAGCTTTTATTACCAACTAAACCAGAGCAATTTCCTGCTAGTTCTGAATAGCAATCAAGCCACCTGATGAAGTTGAACTAAGCAGAACTGTCTCATTGCCTAAGCATGGAAAGTAACCCAAACCCTGCATGTGATTTACCCTTTCACTTAGGTGCCTACTCAGGGGTGAATTTGGCCTTTCTGCTATTGGCCTTTCTACCTAGCTCCTCAGCTAGAGAATAAGAGTTGAATCAAAACAGAAACACTGTAATCACCTTGGATTTTGCACATGAAGTTTTCATTCCTTCTTTGTCCATACTTATGTGTCATGGGCTGAAAGAGCACAGCCTTTGGCATTCAAATCTCTGTTTTGCTAACCATAATACGAAAGCTTGGCCTTGTTCTTTCACCTTGGCGAGCCTCAGTTTCCTTCCCTGTAATAGTGAGTCAAATGTAGCCAGCTCACAGAAGCACTGTGCATAAAGCAATGCCACCCTGCCTATTACATGGTAGGTGTTAAAAAATATCCCATGCTCTTCCTTATTAAAAATAAAAATAATTAAAATTAGAATATTACTCAGAACTTTATTTAGATGTTTCTTATTTATCAGCCAAGATCTTTCTCTTGAATGCAAAGAATATTTTTCTTTGTAAAAACTGAGAATACCACCTAACTAGAATTCTTTCCAATAGGAAATAATTGATGAATTCTTCTTTATGGCTCAAAATCTAAAATGCTAATAGGGCTTAATTTTTATAGAACATTTGCTGTGGACCAAGCATTACTCATACTTATTATTTCGTTGAATTCTCACAATCACTCTTTAAGGTAAGTAACATTTAACATGAGGAAAATTTATAGAGTCCAACTGACTCTGTTACATAGTTAAAAAGTTAAGAGCCACAATTTCAATCCTAGTTACAATTCCTAATTGAGAAGTAAAACAGTGCCTTAGATCCAGCAGAAAATTTTTACAAAATTTAAATTCTACCAGGTATGATAGTGCCTGACTTTAATCCCAGGATCTTGGGGGCTGAGTCAGGAGGATCCCAAATTCAAGGTCAACCTGTCAACTTACTGAGACACTGTCTCAAAATAAAATAGAAAGGGCTGGAGATACATCTCAGTGGTAAAGCACTCCTGAGTTCAATTCCCAGTACCACATACACACAAAAAGCTAAATCCTGTACAATCCATTTTTATAGCATTTTTTATTTCCAGGCCATGATATGATTTCACACTTAAATGCATCACCTCATAAAGACATTCACCTAAATATTTAACATGTGAAAAACACACAACAGATTCCCTGACTCACACATAACCTTTAATTCAAGCACATCTTCTTATACATCCTCTAATCTTCTCTTCTGAAGAGCAGAAACATTTCACAAAATAAGTGGATTTCCACTGTTTTTCTCTTTGGGTCACATTCTAAGCCATGGAACAATACTGTTGAGTATTTTGCCTTATGCCTTGACAAATATCTTAGGAGGCAATGTTCCCAGAAGAAATCTGTATGGAACATATCATTCTGAATCACTTTTCTTAAATAGATTTCAGTTTGCCTCCCAAATGAGCCCTGTTCTTCCTGGGACCACTAAACCATGTACTTTCTGATGGCAGGCACAGGTGCACCAACTTCTCCCTCCAAACATCCATGTGGACAAATCCTGTACTGACTCTCCATTGCTGACCTCTGTCCAACACCCCACACCCAGAATGATACCCCAGGCATCCCCAAGAAGTCACCAAAGGAACCTTGTGTTCACATGCTGGGTTCTTCTCTCCAGCTGCCCTGCAACTCTCATGACCTACCTCCCTCTGCCAAACTGCATCAAGCTCCCCTCCAGACATTTTCTACTTCTTGAACTGTGTCCAGAGACCTTTGACTTTAATTGAAGCACACAGAGTGCCTGACAGAAATGTCATAAGCATAAAATGTAAAAGGTTAACTCTCAAGGAGAATGATGCAATTACACTGCATTCCCTTTAAGCAGGATAAGCTACTTATGATTAAATGTTCTCCAGTAAGGTTATTTTTTTTTATATTCCAAAATACCCTTCTGACCTTCTGCCTTCTTTTAATAAACTTTTATTTGTCCCCAAATAGTTAGAAACTGGTTTCTACATGTAGTATGAAAGGGCAAAGTTTGCATGTGAAGCTTTGGATTTCTAAGTGACTGTGTGTCATGAGAAAAACTGAGCTGTCAGGGCAGCTGGAGCCACATCCCACATAACAAGGAAAATTCCTCCACAAATGGAGATGGAATACAAGAAAAAGAATTTTGCTCAGCATCATCTAAAGCAATAATCAGTTAACTCAAAAGACTCCATTTCAAAAGGGAATTCAAAATATCGATGTAGAAATAGGTCAGATG